TCCCAGCGTGCGACCTGCTCCTACCCCTCCCATGACCTCCTCCTCCCCCGTGCACAACCCACTCCTCCCCCTCTTCGGACCTCCTCCTCCCCCTCGCGCGACTTCCTCCTCCCCTTCACAGGACCTCCTCCCCGTCCTTGCGCAACCTGCTTTTCCCCCTTGCACATCGTCGTCCGACCTCCTCCTCCCCGTCACGCGACGTTCTCCCACCTCTCTTTTGAACTCCTACAGCTCCTCCTCCTCCTTGCACAACCTCCTCCTCACCTCTCACGTGTCCTCTTCAGACCTCCTCATCCCACTCGCGCGACCTCCTTCCACCTCCCTTCCAACCTCCGCACGACCTCCTGCAACCTCTCGGCCTCCTCGTGCGACCTGCTCGTCTCCCTCGCACTACCTCCTCCTCCCCCTTGCACGACCCACTCCTCCCCCTTGCACGACCTCCTCCTAGGCTCCTCCCCCTCTTGCGACCTCCTGCTCGTCCTTGCGCGACCCGCTCCTCCCCCCCACACATCGTCTTCCAACCTCCTCCTCCCCCTTGCACGACCTCCTCCTACCCCTCGCGCGACCTCCTCCTACCCCTTGCGCGACTTCCTCCCCCTCTTTTGACCTCTCCCTTGCTCGACCTCTTCCTCCGCCTTACACAACGTCCTCCTAATCCTTGTGCGACCTCCCCCCCCCTCACGCGTCCTCCACCCACCTCCTCATCCCCCTCACATGACCTCCTCCTCGCACGGCCTCCTCCCCCTCGCGCAACCTCCTCCTACCCCTCGCACGACCTCCTCCTTCCCCTCGCGCGTCCTCACACGACCTCCTCCCCCTTGCACGACCTCCTCCTACCCCTCGCACGACCTCCTCCTCCCCCTCACACAACGTCCTCCTACCCCTCACATGCTCCCCTTCTCCCCCTCGTGCGACTTCCTCCCCCTCTTCTGACCTCTCCCTTGCTCGACCTCTTCCTCCCCCTCACACAATGTCCTCCTAATCCTTGTGCGACCTCCCCTCCCTCACACGTCCTCCACCCACCTCCTCATCCCCCTTGCACGACCTCCTCCTCCTCCTTGTCGTGATGTCTGCTTCCCCCTCACATGACCTCCTCCTCCTACTTGTCGCGACGTCCGCTTCCCTCTCGCACAACCTCCTCCTCCTTGTGCGACCTCCTCATCCCCCTCGTTCCGACCTCCTCCTCCCCCTTGCGCGATGTCCTCCTCCCCCTGACAACCTCCTCCCTATATCCTCTCCCCTCCTCCATGAATTCTCGTCATCTGCCATGCTTATCGCCCTCCTCCTTTTCGTCCCTCTTTCTCCTTTTGTTCCATCCTCCTCCTCTTTCCTCCATTCTCATCGTCCGCTCGCTCGCTCCTCTTTTTCGTTGTTCCTCCTTGTCCTCGTTGCTACTCATGCTGCCTCCTTTGTTTCGATTGGCCCAAATATGCTTCTCCCTCTCCATCCTCCCTCTTTCTCCCACCCTTCCTGCTCTAAGCGCACACATGCCACATGCCCCAAATGTCTTTCTCCCTCTTCCTCCTCCCTCCTCGTGCGTTGATCCTCCCTCCTCCATCACATCTTTCCATCGCCGCCCTTTTCCATATCGACGCGGCCCCCACCCGACACCACGGACTGGCGAGAAACAGAACTGAATGGGGGGGATGAAAGAAACACCGTGGCAGCGGGGAACGAGACTTTGTGTCCTCCCGACACTGCAGAGCGGTGTGTGTCGCGTGGAACCGCCACACCGAATTTCCCTCACTCCCGCCTGCAGTCCTGCCACGAAATGTCGCGGCCGATTTACCTTGCCCAAGTCCCGCCCGCCTCCACACCGAATTTCGCTGGGCCCAGCGAGAAGCGTCACGTTGGGCCCTTTGCATTCTTTAAGAGTATAGGGACAAGTGGACCTGCCGCAGCTACGCTGCGATGAAGAACGAAGACAAACATTTTGCGAAACACCCCAGCCATGAGTTAGATCCCATCTTTGCGATGCACCCCTACCGAACACTGCCCAACGTTGCAAAATGCCCTGGCAGTTGCTAAGTTTTCGCACACACACACCAAAGAAAAAAAACAAAAAAAACAAAGTGTATATTTCCATGTTCTCGTGGTAGATTGATTTGATTTTTCTCATCCTATCGATGGAAGTACCCTCTTTCTCTCTCTCTCAGTGTATATATCCATATTCTAGCGGTAGATTCCTTCAATTTTGCTCATCCTATCGATGGAAGTACCCTCTCTCTCTCTCTCTCTCTCTCTCTCACACACACACACACACACACACACACACACACACACACACACACACCCGTGTAGTAGTGTTCATTTCGACGTTCTAGCGAAAGATTCATTCGATTTTGCTCATCCCATCGATGGAAGTAGCGTGCATATTTCCATGTTCTAGCGGTAGATTCGTTCAATTTTGGTCATCCTATCGACCGACGGAAGTACCCTCTCTCTCTCTCTCACACACACACACGCAGCACACACACGCAGCACACACACACACACACACACACACGTGTGTAGTAGTGTACATTTCGATGTTCTCGCAGAAGATTCATTCAATCTTGCTCATCCCATCGATGAGCGTGAGGCCAGCCGCGGGGTTGGAGACTTACCTGTTGGCTGGAGACTTACCTGTTGGCCGGTGCGTTGCTCGACCAATCGAT